TCAAAGTGCGCACCAGGATCCAAGAATTTAAAAAAAAAAAATTGTATTTTTTCTTATGAAATGGTAGAGAATCTTTTTCTGAAGGTAATAAAACAAAAAGTATGAAATTTGATGAAAAATTTACGAAATTATGCTCTCGCAGCTGTATAGCCCTTGTGGCTTAGCGCTTCTTTTTTATTATAATAATAATATGCTCTCGCAAATTTTGATGTGTCAGCGATATTTATGAATCAGCGATTTTGCTGACTGACTCCCATTTTTGGCCAATTACATTATTCCAGTCGACCAAATTCTTAGCTATTTCACTAGTATTACTTCTATTCTATCGATTGAGCACAAGAAATCGCCAAGTCAACTGTTTCAACTACAAGATAGTGATCGGAAATTGGTAATTTGGCCAATTTAACACAAAGTTCAAAATATTCCAATTTCAAAATAGGGTCCAGGATAAACAATGTAGGTATTCCTGGCACTAAACTAACATTTCCTCTGTTCATTAGTTACATTTTGAGGCTTTACAAATGAATTCCATTTTGATTTTTTATTCACATAATGAATTTTTATTCAAACCAAAAAATAGAAGATTTACTGTTAGGCAATATTGTAATAATTGTATAAATATCATCAGCACATTTGTGAATGTATATTAGACCCACCAGCTGGCGTGCATTAGACGTGTGAGGTCGTTTGTTTACTCTTGAACATCGGCAAAAATTTAACATTTCTGCTACTTTGAGTTCAGTTTCAAGCCATTTCCAGTGCTAAAACCAATGAAAATCATCTCTCTTTCTGTAATGTCTTTCATTCTATCAAATGAAACCAAGAAATCACAAATACAACTATAAAAAATATATAAAAAAACACTGCCAAGTTGCTGTTTTAATTGAAAATCACGGTCTCAGTTTTTTTCTCTCATACACTGTGTGCTGCAGGATTTGTTTTATGTGATGCATACATACCACATAGACGTATTCTCTCATATCTAGGCCCAAATTTACCACTCACAGCTTATCAGAGTGAGCTGCGCTCATGGCATAGATCTACAGTTTGGACCCTGAACATAAAGCCGTAGATCAACAGCACGGACCCTGAAAGGGTTAAGGACGTGTGTGCCAAGTGGAATGAGTTGTGAACTTTTGTTGAAAAATATCACCCTGACAAAGATGATACAAGCCGTATCTGCAACATGCTCAGTGACAATACCTTGTCCCATTTGAGGCAAATCTTAGACACCAGAAACAGAGCTCTCTCGACAGATTTTTAGTGCGACGGGTCCAGTGCCAGTAAAAAACAAAGAAGGGAAGTAACCTCACAGAATGCTTTGATACCTGAAGTCCTTATGGAGGGGGATTCCCCTTCTAAACAATAACCTCAACTCCCTCTCCCCTCCTCATTTTCTTCGATACGCCAACAAGAGTCTTCAATAATGGTATGTAATGTTCATTTATCATTAAAATCAGTAATTTCTCATTGTTTTCTGTGTGTATTCTGTGTTATTCTTTAAAAAATATATTTTTTGTTAATATTTTTGGGTGTCTGGAATGGATTAAATGTATTTACATTATTTCTTATGGGAAATATTAATTCGGTTTTCGTACGTTTCGGTTTTAGACCAATCTTCTGGAACAGATTAAGTACGGAAACCAGAGTTCCACCGTAGTGTGTTTTTTATATTACGTATTTTGAAAAAATGTAATAAACGGATTAATGAAAATGTCTATAAAACCATAATATTTGACATTTAAAGTACCCCAGAGCATCTTCAACACCATTGAGACTCTTAGCTGCTGCTGCTGCTTTATAACAATGCTAAAGAATAATTTTAATGTACCTGAATGGCAGCAGTGTGTAAGTTTATTTAGGTACAGGTACACAAGTATAATTATCAGTAGTATCTCAGTACTATCTCAGTCATAGATATACCCTGCTCACTGAGCATAATCATTTTATTACAAATACCCTTAGAATCTCAATCTCAATCTCAATCTCTCTCTCTCTCTCTCTCTCTCTCTCTCTCTCTCTCTCTCTCTCTCTCTCTCTCTCTCTCTCTCTCTCTCTCACTCTCACTCTCACTCTCACTCCTCTCTCACACTCTCTCACACTCTCTCACACTCTCACACTCACTCTCTCTCTCTCTCACACTCTCTCTCACACTCACTCTCTCTCACACACCTCACTCTCTCTCACATCTCTCACACTCTCTCTCTCACTCTCTCTCACACACTCTCACTCTCTCTCACACTCCTCCTCACACACTCCTCTCACACTCTCTCTCTCACACTCCTCCTCTCATCACACTCACTCCCACACTCACTCACTCACACACTCACTCACTCACACACTCACTCACTCACTCACTCACACTCACACCACTCCACCACACTCACTCACTCACACTCACTCACTCACACTCACTCACTCACACTCACTAACACTCACACACACACACACACACACACACACACACACACACACTCACTCTCACTCACTAAAAACAGAGAGATTAGCCAAAGAGCCAGAAACAAATATGCACAGATAAGGGAGGCTCAATCTCAGTGACAATATGAAAATAACATGGCATCAAAAGTCAAGTCTGACCCGAAGCTGCTGTATAGCCACATCAGGAGGAAAACAACAGTCAAGGCCCAGGTAATCAGGCTGAGGAAGGAAGGTGGGAAGTTCACAAGAAATGACCAAGAGGTATGTGAGGAGCTCAATATGAGAGAATTAAAGAAGTATTTATAGTGAAGACAGGAAGGATTCCAGGAAGTCAGAATAGGGAGGTACACCAACAAGTGCTGGATGAAATACAACCGAGGAGTTGAAGAAACTGCCATGTGAACTTGATACCTCAAAGGCGGTAGGACCAGACATCTCTCTGTGGGTCCTTAGAGAGGGAGCAGAGATGCTGTGTGTGCCACTAACAAAAATCTTCAACACATCCACTGAAATTGGGCAACTACCTGAGGTATGGAAGATGGTAAATGTAGTCCCAATTTTCAAGAAAGGAGACAGACACGGGGCATTAAACTACAGACCTGTGTCACTGAAGTGTATAGTATGCAAAGTCACGGAGATCATCAGGAGGAGAGTGGTGGAGCATCTCGAAATACACAAGCTTATAAACGACAACCAGCACGGTTTCAGGGAAGGAAAATCCTGTCACAAACCTGCTGGAGTTTTATGTCAAGGTAACAGAAGTAAGACAAGAGAGAGGGATGGATAGACTGCATTTTCTTGGACTGCAAGAAGGTCTTCAACACAGTTCCTCACAAGAGGTTATTGTGCAAGCTAAAGGATCAGACACACAAAACAGGAAAGGCACTGCAATGGATCACAGAATATCTGGCAGGGAGTCAACAACGAGTCATGGTATGTGACGGGGATTCCACGGGGGTCAGTCCTAGGACCTGTACTTTTTTTTTTTTTGGTATATGTGAATGACATAACAGAAGGGATAGACTCATAAGTGTCCCTGTTTGCAGATGATATGAAGTTAATGAGAAGAATTAAATTGGTCAAGGACGAGGCAGGACTACAGAGAGACCTGGACAGGCTACAAGCCTGGTCCAGCAACTGGCTCCTTGCATTTAACCCCGCCAAATGCAAAATCATGAAGATCGGAAAAGGGCAAAGAAGACCTCAGACAGAGTATAGTCTAGGTGGCCAAAGACTGCGAACTTCACTCGAGGAAAAAGATCCTGGGGTGAGTATAATACCGAGTACATGTTCTGAGGTGCACATCAACCAGATAACTGCTGCAGCATATGAGCGTCTGGCAAACCTAAGAATAGCATTCTGATGCCTCAGTAAGGAATCGTTGAAGGCTATGCACACCATATACGTCAGGCCCATATTGGAGTATGCAGCACCAGTTTGGAATCCACACCTGGTCAAGCACGTCAAGAAATTAGAGAAAGTGCAAAGGTTTGCAACAAGATTAATCTCAGAGCTAAGGGGATTGTCCTATGAAGAAAGATTAAGGGAAATCAGCCTTACGACACTGGAGGACAGGAGGGCCAGGGGAGACATGATAACAACGACATATAAAATAATGCGAGGAATTGGCAAAGTGGATAAAGACAAGACGTTCCAGAGATGAGACACAGAAACAAGGGGTCAGAATTAGAAGCTGAAAAGACTGATTAGTCAAAGGGATGTTAAGAAGTATTTCTTCAGTCATAGAGTTGTCAGGAAATTTAATAGCCTAGAAAGTGACATAGTGGAGGCAGGAACCATACATAGTTTTAAGATGAGGTTTAATAAAGCTCAGAGCAGGGAGAGGACCTAGTAGCAATCAGTGGTGGGGCCAAGAGCTGTGACTTGACCCCTGCAACCACAAATAGGTGAGCACACACATTAACACACACACACACCCACAAAACTAAAACTTTGGAAGTTTCTAGACATCTAGAGAGATGCAGAGTTCATGGAGGATGTAAAGAGTAGACGGGTGGCATATGGACGCCATAATAGTGAAGAGCCGTATTAACGAATTTTCAGGTATAATTTATTATGTCCATATTGGTGAATCTCCGTAAAGTGAGGCCCTCCTGTATTTACCTTTCCACGCCTATCTCCGATAATTAGGTCACCTCTGTATTCAACTGAAGCAGCTTGCTGAACAAGTGAAATGTTTTGACAAAGGTACACCACTGTTGCATATGCCTTCCTCATCTATTAACCCTTAAACTGTCCAAACGTAGATCTATGTTTTTTCAACATTTGAAAGTATGTAAAAAAAGTAGATCAACTTTTTTTTTTTTTTACACTTGGAAAAGTGTAAAAAAACTTTGATCTACTTTTGGAGCACTACGCATGTGAACGTAGATCTGCTTGGACAGTTTAAGGGTTAATATATTTTCTACAGCTTAAGTACAAACATCTTAATGAAAGGAAACATTTTTAAATGGATAAGAACTAAAGATGAATACTGTAGTGCCTTCAAGGGCAAAATATTGATCTGACTTCATTCAAATAAGGTTAAAGAGCTAATAAACTAATGCAGGAATACTATATTTACTAAAAAACTGTTGCTACATTTTTTTATTAAATTAATACTTGAATAATGTATGCATACTAAAGTGCAATTTACTATCAGTAATTTTTTTTAACACTTGTTTAAAAGAAACAGTGTACAGTAGAACCTCGGTATACGATCAGCTCCCTACTCGAACAAAGCTCAGCACTCGACCAAACAAATACGACCTGCCAGAACTTCGCTGTGAGCTATTTCATGTTTGCATTTTTTGGCGTTCTTTTTTATTTCTATAAATAAGTCACCATGGAGCCTATGATGATAAGCGATAACAGCCAACCAAACAAAACTGGTGGGGAAGAATTTGTTTGATTCTCAAATAGAGCAGCACTTGAACAGCCTTCTGGAATGAATTAAGGTTGCATACCGAGGTTCCGCATTATTATAAAAGTGAGTAAAGCATCAAGATGCATTACAATTTAAAAGCCAACTAATACACCATCACACAAATATTAATAATCAACTACAGTAACCCTTTGGTTTAACAAATAGAGGGAAAAGCCAGTGGCCAGTAATGGCAATTATGATGGATAAAGATTAAATTGTTTTGCTGTGATCATAACTATTAAAGAATTCTGTAACCAGCAGATTTTGTCCCAATTTCCAAAACTGGTCAAATCAAGGTCTGTTAAATCAAGAGTTTACTGGACATAAAAATAAGACATTTCTATATACTGTATACAGTACATCCATGACATCAATATTTTAGCATAATTAAGTAATTATAATAACTTTAGTCAAATCAAAATTTTTAAAAACTGCTGAGGGATAAATTAAAAAAAAAAAAGTCATTATCGTGGGACTACACACATTTCCATCAAGGGTCCTGCAGGTGGCCTCCATCGTGGATTCGTAAGCAATGTAGTGTATATTTCTTTGGGCGATACCTATGAAGAGTATTAAAAAATTTGATTAGGAATTTAAAAAGTAAAAAGGTAATGAGATTATATAAGTGACCTAAAAGATACTTGCATTATTAAGACAAGAAAGTTGTAGAGATGACATTCAATAAAAATTAAATACACTATGTTCGAGTATCCAACAGTAAAAATTATACTGTATAGATAGAAACATATGAAGACAGAAAGCATTTAAAATTATATCCAAAATCCTACTGTATATAATACTGTTATATAACATTGGATCCAAACTACTACTGTACTGTATATAACAGATAACATTACAGTCTTTCTTTCTTTCAACACACCAGCCATATCCCACCGAGGCAGGGTGGCCCAAAAGGAAAAACGAAAGTTTCTCCTTTTACATTTAGTTATATATACAGGAGAAGGGTTACTAGCCCCTTGCTCCAGGCATTTTAGTCGCCTCTTACAACACGCTTGGCTTACGGAGGAAGAATTCTGTTCCACTTCCCCATGGAGGTAAGAGGAAATGAACAAGAACTAGTAAGAAAATAGAAGAAAACCAAGTGGGGTGTGTATATACATGCTTGTACATGTATGTGTAGTGTGACCTTAGTGTAAGTAGAAGTAGCAAGACGTACCTGAAACCTTGTGTGTTTGTGAGACAGAAAAATGGACACCAGCAATCCTACCATCATGTAAAACAATTATAGGCTTTTGTTTTACACTCACTTGGCAGGATGGTAGTACCTCCCTGGGTGGTTGCTGTCTACCAACTTACTACCTAGGACATTATAGTCATAAGTACTAAATTATTAATGATCACAGAGCCTAGGGAACTGGAGGCAGGTAATCTGGTTTAGTCCAAGGATGGAGTTGGAGAGGGTAGCACCAATTCCTTGGATTAAGAATCCTTCACCAGCAACACTATTCCCTGTAAAGGGAGAGGAAGGAATAGGAGGAAAATGAGGTGGGTAGGAAAAAAGAATCCCAGCAAAGTAAACTAAAACATTACAGTGAAATTCATTGCTTTAACCCTTTGACTGTCACAACCCCAAATCCTGAGGTGTCTCCTGGTGTCACAAAATATTAAAAAAAAAAATTCTTATGAAATGATAAGAGAATCCACACCATACCACGGGCGGGGATAGAACCCGCAATCGTGTCATTACGATTTCATGAGTCATGATAAGAGAATCTTTTCCTGATGGTAATGACACCAAAAGTACGAAATTTGATGGAAACCTCATGGAATTACGCTCTCGCAAAGTTAGCGACATCGGCGATATTTATGAATCTGCGATTTCGTCCACTTTGAGCCCTATTTTCGGCTAATTCCATTGTTCCAGTCGACCAAACTTATAGCTATTTCTTTAGAACTCCATTTGTTCTATCGATTGAGCACAAGAAACTGCCCATTTACCAATTTTAACTGCCCAATAAAGTGGTCAAAAATTGGCAATTTGGCCAATTTCACGCAAATTAAAAAATATGCTAATTTCAAAATAGGGTCCAGAATGAACAATGCAGACATTCCTGGCTCTAAAATAACATTTTCTTTGTTCATCAGTCACATCTCCAGGCCCCTCTGATATTACTCTTGCTTTCTATTTTGAATTTTTATTCAAACAAAAAATAGAAGATTTACTGTTATGCAGACTACTGCAATATTGTAATAATTGTATAAATAATGTCAACCCATTCATGACTGCATATTAGAATGGCTAGTTGAACATTTATTGGACAATGACGTCATTTGTTTACTCTTGAACATCGGGGAAAAAATCAAACATTTCCCCTACTTTGAGCTCCATTTCAAGGTCGTTTTCATAGTAAAACCAATCAAAATCACCTCCACTTCTATAATATGTTTTCCATTCTATCAAATGTGACTACGAAAACGAGAATATGTATAACCATAAAAACTATGTGAAAATACACCTCAAAGTTGGCGTTTTAATTCAAAAACATGGTCGGAGTTTTTTTTTCTCATTATGCACTGCTTGTTGCAGGATTTTTTTTTTTTTTTTATACTGCACACACTGACCACATAGTCTCATTTTCTCACATGTGGGCCTACCAGCTTTCTCCCACTTGATTTGAAACCGCTAGAATTTTTGAGTACATATATATACGTCAAACACATTGGCTCGTAAGACGTATATATACGACTGAAACAGACAAAGGGTTAAAGCATGGTACACATCTCTTGAATATTATTAGGTTACATTGCTGTATAGTCCTTGTGGCTTAGCGCTTCTTTTTGATTATAATAATAATAATTAGGTTACATTTAACAGTGATGAAAAAGGACAGCAGCTGGGTGGATTTTCTCTACTGGCTGCAGTGCATGTAACAACAACACTTCAAGAGCTTCAAGCTAGTGCACAGTTACCTAGTGATTACCTACATTTTGTCAAAAAATTGCTATACTATAAAATTTGGCGGGGTAAGGTGGAAAAGAAGTGTTACAAAATGTAACCTGCATAGTTATTTGTTTTTATTACCTCAATGGCCATCTCTTGCCAAGAGAGAGTGACCCAAAGGAAGAAATACATTCATCATTATTCAATCAATGACTTGCCAGCCATGTGCTGACATCACAATTCAGATTACATTCTGACTGCAACATTCCCACCTCTAGTACTTAGGTTTGACTAATCAGCTTCCCTGAATCCCTTCATAAATGTTAATTTCCTCACACTTCAACAGCACATCCATTAATCCCTAAACGGTCCAAACGTATATGTTCTTACCGCTAGCGCCCCCAAACGTATATATACATCTTAATTTTCCTGCCTCCAAATTTGGCACGATTGGCCCGAGATGCCTGGTCAGCATAGAATGGGTCTTAACCCTTTCAGGGTCCAGAGGCCAAATTTCAAAGGGTGCACCAATGTCCAAGAATTTTCAAAAAAGAATTCTGTTATTTTTTCATATGAAATGGTAGAGAATCTTTTTCTGAAAGTAATAAAACAAAAAGTACGAAATTTGATGGAAAAGTGACGAAATTATGCTCTCATGAATTTTGATGTGTCAGCGATATTTATGCATTGGCGATTTTGCGGACTTTGACTCACATTTTAGGCCAATTGCATTATTCCAGTTGACCAAATTCTTAGCTATTTCACTAGTATTACTGCTATTCTATCGATTGAGCACAAGAATTCACCAAGTCAACTGTTTCATCTACAAAACAAAGTGATCGGAAATTGGTAATTTGGCCAATTTAATGCAAAGTTCAAAATACTCCAATTTCAAAATAGGGTCCAGAATAATCAACGCAGGCATTCCTGGCACTAAACTAACATTTCCGCTGTTCATTAGTTACGTTTTCAGGCTTTACTAATGAATTCCATTTTGATTTTTTATTCACAATGAATTTTTATTCAAACCAAAAATAGATTTACTGTTATGCAATATTGTAATAATTGTATAAATAATATCAGCACATTTATGAATGTATATTAGACCCACCAGCAGGCGTGTATTAAACGTATGAGGTCATATGTTTACTCTTAAACATCGGCAAAAATTTAACATTTCTGCTACTTTGAGCTCAGTTTCAAGACATTTCCAGTACTAAAACCAATCAAAATCAACTCTATTTCTATCAAATGAGACCAAGAAATCGCAAATACAACTATAAAAAACATACGAAAAAACACTGCAAAGTCGCCGTTTTAATAAAAAATTAGTCTCAGCTTTTTTCTCTCATTATGCCCTACGTGCTGCAGGATTTGTTTTATGTGGTGCATACATACCACATAGATGTATTCTCTCAAATCAAGGCCAAAATTTACCGCTCACAGCTTATCAGAGTGAGCTGAGCTCATGATGTAGATCTACGGTTTGGACCCTCAACGTAAAGCCGCAGATCTACGGCACGGACCCTCAAGGGGTTAACACTAGGTGTGCACCATATTAAAAAAGTCTGGGACCACCTAGTACCTTGTGGGAGCGCCTGTTAAATTGAGCGCCAGCTCAAGCAAACAGTGCGGCAAACACCAAGGATTCACTGATGTAATGTCATATTAACACTCCCCTTTTAAGAGGAAAGTGATGTTAACCCCAAGTTTAGGGTCTATCTGTCTATCTTTCTATGCATCTCTATCTCTCTCTGACTTTGTCTATCTGTCTCTGTCTATCTGGTAGCGAACGTGTATATACGTTTGGACCGTTTAGGGGTTAAACACTGCTTGTCTCCATTTACTCCTGTTTCATGAGCTCTCAGCTCTGCCGGATATACTAGCATCAAGGGTAGTAAGATGAACATTGGTTAAAGTTTTATGTCTATGTAAAAGCATTCTCCAAATGTAACTGAAAGGAGATAAACTTTTTTAACTGCTACTGGGTACTGTATATACAGTACAGTATATTCCTCCCCCAAAAGACCTATGTATGGTGCAGATGAAGCTTTAAAATCTTATGTAGTATAGGCCACAGAATACAATGAATTCTGAAGGTTGATGAACAAAGGATGCAACCCACAGCAGTCCACCAGCACCTAGGTATCTATTTATTGCTAAATAACAGGCAATATGTGTTAGAAGGCTTTTCTCTATGTATCTCCCTGCCCATACCTTATTATATACTCTGAAATTCCAGTATTTGGAGAAATTTTGTTAAATGCATCAGGTTCACCAGGATTATGACAGCCCAGGGTTTTGTGAATATGAATGTATAACTGTTTGAGGGCTGCTCCATGGCCCACAACCAAGATCTTTTCCACAGGTTCGGCTTCTTCTAATGTCTGAAATTAAAACAAGAAAGTTATAATACTGATTGCAGCAAAATATACAGCTTTTTCTTTTTTAACACACTGGCCATCTCCCACTGAGGTACACTATAATTACAATACTACTGCAGGTATTATTAATTTTTTTTTTTAACAAGTTGGCCGTCTCCCAAAAAGAAAGAAAATCACCAAAAAGAAAAAACTTCCATCATCATTCAACGCTTTCACTTCACTCACACATAATCACTGTTTTTGAAGAGGTGCTCAGAACACAACAGCTTAGAAGCATATACGTATAAAGATACACAACATATCCCTCCAAACTGCCAATATCCCGAACCCCTCCTTTAAAGTGCAGGCAGTGCACTTCCCATTTCCAGGACTCAAGGCCGGCTATATAAAAATAACCAGTTTCCCTGAATCCCTTCACTAAATATTACCCTGCTCACACTCCAACAGCTCGTCAGGTCCCAAATACCATTCGTCTCCATTCACTCATGTTTTTACCATTATTTATTCTGCTCTGTTTCTGGAAGTTGTTTTGAGAATTCTTTGCATTTACAGAAAGCCTTCAATTTAACAGACCTCAGTTCAATGGACTTTGGAAATATGGGATGAAATCTGTTGGGTCAGTTGATTCGGCAACAGTGGACAAAGTCTGGAGGGTTATAGAATTTAGTTATTATTATGATCAATGCAAAAACAATCTCGTCTCCATCCACGACAATTACTGGCCATCAAGTCCCCTCTGTTACCTCATTAACCCTTTGAGGGTTGGAACTCCTGATCTGAAACCTATCAGGGTCGGAGAATTAAAAAAAAAAAACATTTCTTATGAAGTGATAGTCTTTTTCCAAAGGTAATGAAACCAAAAGTAAGAAATTTGATGGAAAATTTATAGAATTATGTTCTCACAAAGTCAGCGGTCTCAGCGATATTTAAGCATCAGTGATTTTGCCCACCTTGAGCCTTATTTTCAGCCAATTCTATTGTTTCAGCCAACCAAACTCATAGCTATTTTACTAATAATCCTTCCATTCTAAAGACTGAGTACAAGAAACCGACCATTTACCTATTTCAACTACCCAGTAGTGATCAGAAATAGGTAATTCAGCCAATTTCACACATACAAAAATTGCAAATTTAAAAATAGGATACAGAATAAACAATGTAGACATTCCTGGCACTAAAAAACATTTCCTCTCTTCATTAGTTGTATCCCCAAGCCTCTCCTATATTATGCTTGCTTTCCATTTTGAATTTTTATTCACAAAAAACAAGATTTACTGTTATGCAGACTACTACATTATTGTAATAATTGTATAAATAATGTCAGTGCATTTATGAACACATATTAGATTGACCAGTTAGACATGTATTGGACAAGTGACATAATTTGTGTACTCTGGAATATCAGCAAAAATCAAACATTTCTGCTACCTTGAGCTCAGTTTCAAGCTACTTTCAGTCCTGAAACCAATCAATATCACCTCTCGGTCTGTAATACATTTTCCATGCTATCAACTGAGACCAAAAAAACGAGAATACAACCATAAAAACCATACAAAAATACTATACCACAATGTTGCTATTTTAAACCAAAAACACAGGCGCAGTTTTTTCTCATTATGCACTGCATGCTTCAGGAATTTTTTTTATATGGTGCAGCCCCATTCTCTCATATCTTGGCCCAAATTTACTGCTTACAGCTTATCTAAGAGAGCTGAGCTCACAATGTAAAACAATGGGACCAACCTGGGCTTCAAAGCCATAATACAACGGGACCCACCCTCAAAGGGTTAAGTGAAGGGTTTGCTATGTAAATCATGCAACCCTTATGTATGTTCATAAAACAAAGTTTCCTTTAATAGTGGGTAGTTTAGCTCCCCGTTGGCCATCTGTCTGCATGCAGGAGCAGAAATGAATGAACTGAACTGAACATCACAACACTGAATCCCCAGAGCTGAATGATGTACAATTCATAATCTCGATTGTGATTTGCAGAGCCAAAAAAAAAAAAAAGTTTTTCTAGGGCTAATTTCTTTTTCACTATATTTCAAATCCTAATTTTAAAACATTTTGTTGGTAATTCTGACTCACTGCATAACCCTTAAAAGCTTACTTACCAATAAAAATGTCAGTAATTCCACCATTATTACTAAGTCTAGCACGTATGATCAATTCATGTATAGCATAGAGGTACTGTAGTAACATACCTTAAGAGACATTCTAAAGTGTATATTATTTACTGATGACTAACCAAAAGTTTATAGTACAAATCAGCAATATAAGCAGAGATGTTATGATTAAGAGGAGTATGAGGATAGAGTAAAGGGTGTGTTAGTGGTAATGGGGATAATGGTGGTGGGGACTGTGGTGGTTGAGGCAGTGGATTTCAATGCTTTACTTTCATTATGATAACATAAAAGAGGAGGCGGTTGGAGACAGTGGGGATGTCCTGTCTAAGGACAATGTGTGGTGTAAATATTATGCAGAAAATTCGGAGTGTGGAAATTAGGAGAAGGTGTGGAGTTAATAAAAGTATTAGTCAGAGGGCTGAAGAGGGGTTGTTGAGGTGGTTTGATCATTTAGAGAGAATGGATCAAAGTAGAATGACATGGAGAGTGTATAAATCTGTAGGGGAAGGAAGGCGGGGTAGGGATCGTTCTCGAAAAGGTTGGAGGGAGGGGGTAAAGGAGGTTTTGTGGGAGAGGGGCTTGGACTTCCAGCAAGCGTGCATGAGCGTGTTGGATAGGAGTGAATGGAGACGAATGGTATTTGGGACCTGACGATCTGTTGGAGTGTGAGCAGGGTAATATTTAGTGAAGGGATTCAGAGAAACCAGTTATTTTTATATAGCCGGACTTGAGTCCTGGAAATGGGAAGTACAATGCCTGCACTCTAAAGGAGGGGTTCGGGATGTTAGCAGTTTGGAGGGATATGTTGTGTATCTTTATAGGTATATGCTTCTAAGCTGTTGTGTTCTGAGCACCTCTGCAAAAACAGTGATTATGTGTGAGTGAGGTGAAAGTGTTGAATGATGAAAGTATTTTCTTTTTGGGGATTTTCTTTCTTTTCTGGGTAACCCTGCCTCAGTGGGAGACGGCCGACTTGTTTAAAAAAAAAAAAAAAAAAAAAAAAAAAAGTAATTTACACGGTTATAACAAATTATTATATTAAGCTTCATGAAGATATAATATTTATAAAAAGTAGACTGTTCCTTGAGTAAGAGTTCTGCTCAAACATTATTAAAGCCATAAGTCAAAAAGATACACTAATAATGGTAGTTTCAAGTTCAAAAATATTTTAAACACCCAATAGATCATAAAAATTGTGTTTACCTTTAAATTTTCCTTATCCTCTATATCTTCTCTGTCTTCATACCCATTTTCAAGGTCATGTGACAGCTGCCTATTTTTGTCATACACAGACTGACTCATATCCTGTAATAAAACTTCTCTGATTAATTTAAAATGTTAAATAAATGTATAGGTACAGTATGCATGTTTTATGTAGTGTTAATTTCATGTCAAGCAAGCAGACTCGAGTAATATAGCTCCTCTTTCAAAAATATATCCGAGTACAGCCTCTCCTCACTTAGCAACGTACGTACTCGTTTACCGAAGACTCGGACTTACGTCGGACTCTTACCATTATGCATACCTAAATAATGTTTATTAAAGTTGATTTCCTCTACTCTGTTTATTTCAGTATACAGTACACTACTGTATAAACACAAACCTAGTACCATTATACTATGCTTCTTGTTTGGCAACGAATTCATTTACCAACATGGTCTTATTAACGGAACTCCGTCATTAAGTGAGGAGAGGCTGTGATTATTTTGTCTCATACTCTCAGAAATTTAGTCAGAAAAACATTACTGTAGAGGTATAAAGAACAATTACCAGAATGTACCTATAATTAACCTTTATAATGAAAGAATTACCTTCAAGAAGGATACCATTCTAGCTTGAAGATCACCAAGTGTCTCTGCTCCTGGAGGAGTGAATTCTGTCCACATAAGACCCTCTGCTGTTGCCATGCTCTTAACATCATCTATGTTCATACCTTCCACACTCCCAAAATTCTGTAAACAAAAGGAAAACTAAGTAGTCTTAAATATGTCAAGGGGCCCCAAAGTAGAGAACAGTCAGAAACAAGTCGGTCCAAGTCGGACCGAAACGTCGTCGTAAGCTCCTCTCTTCTATGTGCGGGTTATTTGTGTATGATTCATTCATGAACCAACACAAAGTCACCAATCTGGCCACTGTGCCCATCCTCAAGCCAAACCAATACAATATTTTATTTATCTTTTTGTTTATTAATGTGGAATGCAAATCATGGTTACATAAGATAATGTAAACAAATATTATTGCTTATTTTATTATGGTATGGAGAGAGGATGTAAAGAGAAAGCCAAAATAAGAAAAGAAATAGGGTGTCACTAGCCTGTTAACCAACTGTTTCCCCACTGTCAACCATCCTCCCCCACCTGACAACAGGGGAGATGTACCAGACATGGATGGCTGTGCCAACAAACAGAATACTAATGTGAATAATGAATCTAAAGCTGAGCTTTTGACATGCATATACTATGTACTTGGCGTATATTCCGTATACCATATATTAACAAATATACAGATAATACTATAACTGCAGAACATTCAGAAACTCAATAGACACAGGGCATAAGGAATAATTTCATAAATTTAGAAATGGGGATGTCCCATAACTCGACTGGAAGCGCACTCAGCTCACACTGAGGTCCGAGGGTTGATTTTCAGCATGGGTGGAAACATTAGGATGTGTTTCCTTAAGACACCTGCTGTCCATATTCCCGTCAGTAAAATAGGTATCTGGGTGTTAGTCAACTCGTGTGGGTCGCATCCTGGAACAAAGTTGACCTAATTTGCCCAAAATGCTCTGAATAACAAGGAGCTTTCTACATAGCAGTATGTCATTGGTGTCAACTAGGCCTGTATACCTTGTACATGTACTTGTAGAAATAAAGATATATTATTATACAGAGCACTGTGCAATAAGAAATGGGGTCAAGTGATTGCCTTACCCTTTCTCGCAACCTGGTATCAACTTTTATAGAGGGTGATATACAGGAATTTTCCTTAAGAATATGCTCACAAGTTGAATATGCTCTGCACAAATCACTTGTGTATGCTCGTGTAAATGCTGTCTTGCATAAACTTGCTCCAGCCTGTAATGAGAGAACATCTGGTATATTATAACCAGTAATGCTGCACAAAATTTCAAGCATACTGTATTGGATATATATACTATATCAGGTAATTTCAAGAAAAATCACATTAATATTATTGTGCAGAAAAATTTTCCATGGTTGAGTTCATGATGTGAAAGTAAAAGAAAAAATAAATCATAAGCAATAAAATTACAGCCCAACAAAAACTAATTACTGTGCAAATAGCTATGAAACACAAAATTAGACAAGGCTAATAAAGTTATGAAGTGAGTCTATTTTGCAACTGATGGATCACTACATATACTGATCACTACATATACATCACTTCACAAATATCAGTATAAACATTATTTTTACCTGTGATGCTTGCTTCTCTCCTACTGAACTCAGTGGAATATCTAGATGACCCTGAACCCTGTGCTCTCTGTTGGCTTCTGTCTCCCCACTAAAAGAAAAATGCAAACAAAGCATTATTTTGGCTGGAGAACAGGTATAGTGATACCGAGAGATGTAGATAAAGACACACATGTACACAATTCAACACTAAAAATCTAAATAAATGTTTATAAATGATGCAAAGATCTTATGCAAAATAAGTAATAAAAATAATTAAATCCCTGCAAGAATTTTATACAGTATATTGAACAGTGAAGATTGAATTTAAAGATCCATTTAATGGAATCAGAGGGAAGCAATAACACACCACATGAAGTTTAAAGAATTTTAAAAAATTGAAAAGCCTCAGACTTTACACTGTATGACTCATGCAGATTGAGTACTTCTTTTACACTAAACAATGCAGCAAAGAGAAGGCTGGAGAGTGGAGATGTCATGTTTCACCTCAACAACCCCTCCTCAGCCCTCTGAGGAGGAGTTGTTGAGGTGTTTTGGGTGTTTAGAGAGGATGGAGCAAAATAGGATGGCTGGGAGGCTATATAAGCCTGGAGTGGAGAGGTATGGGTGGTGTCAGAATTTCTATACTGTGGGGGGCTTAGGAATGGCCATCTAGATGGAATGGGGAGCTAAAAGACTTATTTGAGGGGGACTAATGGAATTTTTGTAAGGTTGTGGGAAAATTGGGGGGCTGAGGGGAATTTTTGGGGAGGCCTGATCCCCCCCAAGCTTTCCCTAGGTACTACCACTGGGTGTCATCCCACAAAGGTATAGAAGGAGGGTATATGAAATTTTGATTGCTAGGGATTTGACATCCAACAAGTACATGTGAGCATGTTAGAGTGGAGTGTGAGGAAGTAACATTTATGAAGGGATTCAAGGGAAACAAATAGGCTGAACTTAAATCCTGGAGATGGAAATTACACTTCCTGCATGCCAAAGGAGCAGTTTGGGGGTAAAGGCAGCTGAACTGCAATGCCAGCATGCTTCTGACAAGATAACACTTTAGCAAATTACAGTGAATGTGTTTCCTCTTGTTTTTTTTGTCACCCTAACTCAGTGGGAGATGACCAATGGGTTAAAAAAAATAATACAACAGAAAATACCTAGGGGGTCACCACTGACAAAATTTGTCACCAGAACATAATTTAAAGATTATAAAAAACTCATATGCTAACACTGGCAAACTTTAAAATAACAGCCAATTCTCATAAAATCTGGGTAAATTTCTAACATATACTTTCATAAAATTTCTAAATTTACATTATGGTAGGTTAAGTTCAATTCAGTTATATTATCTTTTATTAATAAAAACTAATCAATTACATAATACACCACAAAGCCAATAAATGAAACACCAGTATTACATTTTTAAAACAAACAACAGGGCTTACCTACCTACCAGGGTATACCCAAAAATAGAAACACATTCACCATTATTCATTCAGTAGCTGTCTTGCCATAACTGTTCAGATATCGCAATTCAAATGACCTTCTGGAATGCAACATTTCCAGTGCTCCTTCACAGTGTGGGCACTGTACTTCACATTTCTGGGACTCAAGCCCCTCATGATGGTGAGGGGCTCTTGATCTAGGGAACTGGATCTGTGCTCCAGTTCCCTGATTAAGCCTGAATGTCTTCCAACCCCCCCCCTCCACAGGCACTGTATAATCCCTATGGGTTTAGCATTCTCCATGATGATGATGATGATGATGATGATGATGATGATGATGATGATGATGATGATGATGATTGATGATGATGATGATGATGATGATTGATGATGATGATGATGATGATGATGATGATGATGATGATGATGATGATGATGATGATGATGGATGATGATGATGATGATGATGATGATGATGATGATTGATGATGATGATGATGATGATGATGATGATGATGATGATGATGATGATGATGATGATGATTGATGATGATGATGATGATGATGATGATGATGATGATGATGATGATGATGATGATGATGATGATGATGATGATGATGATGATGATGATGATGATGATGATGATGATGATGATGATGATGATGATGATGATGATGATGATGATGATGATAAAAAAATAATAATAGTAATAATAATAATAATAATATTTTAATACGTATTTTAAACTGTCATATCTGAGCGCCTCTGCAAAGACAGTGATTATGTATGAGTGAGGTGAAAGTGTTGAATGATGATGAAAGTATATTCTTTTTGGGGATTTTCTTTCTTTTTGGGTCACCCCCTGCCTCGGTGGGAGACGACCAACATGTTGAAATAAAGAAAAATAATAATAATAATAATAATCTAGGACTAAAGTCCAGCTAAATAGTTTCTTTTCTGTTCACACTCCAACAGCACATCAAGCCATAAAATTTCTCATTTCCACTCACTGTGATCTAACAGGCTCACATAAGTCTGCTGGATGCTCAAGCCCCTAGCTCGCAAAATCTTTACCCCCCTCCTTCTAACCTTTCCTGGAATGACCCCCTACCCCTCCCTCCTTCCACCCCAGATTTATGCACCCTCGTTGTCATTCAATCTTGCTCCATCCTCCCTAAATGCCCAAACTATCTCTGCAGCCCCATCCTCAGCCCTATGACTTATACCTTTGGTAACCTCACACTTTCTTCTAATTTCTATACTCTGAACTTTCTGCATAATATTCACACAACACATTGCTCTCAACCTAGGTAGTAGGCTGGTAGACAGCAACCACCCAGGGAGGTACTACCGACCTGCCAAATGAGTGTGTGAAAAGGAAACCTGTAGTTTTACATGATGGTAGGCTTGCTGGTATCTTTTTTCTGTCTCATAAACACATGGGATAACAGATATATCTTGCTACTTCTACCTATACTTAGGTCACACTACACATGCATGCACACACATATATATAAACACACGCACACACACACACCCATCTGGGTTTTCTTCTATTTTCTTAATGTCTTGTTCTTCTTTATTTCCTCTTATCTCCATGGGGAAATGGAAAAGAATTCTTTCTCTGTAAGCCATGTGTGTTGTAAGACATGACTAAAATGCTGGGAGCAAGGGGGCTAGTAACCCCCTCTCCTGTATAAATTACTAAATTTAAAAAGAAAGATTTTTTATTTTTTAGGTTACCCTGCCTCAGTGGGATATGACCAGTTCATTGGGGAAAAAAATTGCACAAACAGAATCACTAAATCCACTCTAAAATAAACAGTTAGATAATCACTCTTTAAAAATCATGAAGAGTCATCCACTTGACAGTCTTTGCAAAAGTGATATTGTAATGTCATTAAGAGGATATGTTGAAAATATTTTTTTTTTTTTTTTTTTTTTTTTTCAACAAGTCAGCCGTCTCCCACCGAGGCAGGGTGACCCAAAAAAAAGAAAGAAAATCCCCAAAAAGAAAATACTTTCATCATCATTCAACACTTTCACCACACTCGCACATTATCACTGTTTTTGCAGAGGTGCTCAGAATACAACAGTCTAGAAGCATACACACATAAAGATACACAACATATCCCTCCAAACTGCCAATATCCTAAACCCCTCCTTTAAAGTGCAGGCATTGTACTTCCCATTTCCAGGACTCAAGTCCGACTATATGAAAATAACCGGTTTCCCTGAATCCCTTCACTAAATATTACCCTGCTCACACTCCAACAGAAACGTCAGGTCCCAAGTACCATTCGTCTCCATTCACTCCTATCTAACACGCTCATGCACGCTTGCTGGAAGTCCAAGCCCCTTACCCACAAAACCCTCCTTTACCCCCTCTCTCCAACCCTTTCGAGACGACCCCTACCCCGCCTTCCTTCCCCTATAGATTTATATGCTTTCCATGTCATTCTACTTTGATCCATTCTCTCTAAATGAACCAAACCACCTCAACAACTCCTCTTCTGCCCTCTGACTAATACTTTTATTAACTCCACACCTTCTCCTAATTTCCCACACTCCGAATTTTCTGCATAATATTTACACCACACATTGCCCTTAAACAGGACATCTCCACTGCCTCCAACCGTCTCCTCGCTGCTGCATTTACCACCCAAGCTTCACACCCATAAAAAGAGTGTTGGTACTACTATACTTTCATACATTCCCTTCTTTGCCTCCATAGATAATGTTTTTTGACTCCACATATACCTCAACGCACCACTCACCTTATTTCCCTCATCAATTCTATGATTAACCTCATCCTTCATAAATCCATCCGCCGACACGTCAACTCCCAAGTATCTGAAAACATTCACTTCTTCCATACTCCTCCTCCCCAATTTGATATCCAATTTTTCTTTATCTAAATCATTTGACACCCTCATCACCTTACTCTTTTCTATGTTTACTTTCACTTTCTACCTTTACACACATTCCCAAACTCATCCACTAACCTTTGCAATTTTTCTTTAGAATCTCCCATAAGCACAGTATCATCAGCAAAAAGTAACTGTGTCAATTCCCATTTTGAATTTGATTCCCCATAATTTAATCCCACCCCTCTCCCAAACACCCTAGCATTTACTTCCTTTACAACCCCATCTATAAATATATTAAACAACCATGGTGACATTACACATCCCTGTCTAAGACCTACTTTTACCGGGAAGTAGTCTCCCTCTCTTCTACACACCCTAACCTGAGCCTCACTATCCTCATAAAAACTCTTTACAGCATTTAATAACTTACCACCTATTCCATATACTTGCAACATCTGCCACATTGCTCCTCTATCCACTCTATCATATGCCTTTTCTAAATCCATAAATGCAATAAAAACTTCCCTATCTTTATCTAAATACTGTTCACATATATGCTTCAATGTAAACACCTGATCTACACATCCCCTACCCACTCTAAAACCTCCTTGCTCATCCACAATCCTACATTCTGTCTTACCTCTAATTCTTTCAATTATAACCCTACCGTACACTTTTTCCTGGTATACTCAGTAAGCTTATTCCTCTATAATTTTTACAGTCTCTTTTGTCCCCTTTCCCTTTATATAAAGGGACTATACATGCTCTCTGCCAATCCCTAGGTACC